GATAGAGGTCCTAGTAGTCAACAATATAAGATAGAGGTCCTAGTAGTCAATAATAGAAAGTTAGAGGTCCTAGTAGTCAATAATAGAAAGTTAGAGGTCCTAGTAGTCAATAATAGAATGATAGAGGTCCTAGTAGTCAATAATAGTAAGATAGAGGTCCTAGTAGTCAATAATAGAAAGATAGAGGTCCTAATAGTCAATAATAGTAAGATAGAGGTCCTAGTAGTCAATAATAGAAAGATAGAGGTCCTAGTAGTCAATAAAAGGAAGATAGTGGTCCTAGTAGTCAATAATAGAAAGATAGAGGTCCTAGTAGTCAATAATAGTAAGATAGAGGTCCTAGTAGTCAATAATAGAAAGATAGAGGTCCTAATAGTCAATAATAGTAAGATAGAGGTCCTAGTAGTCAATAATAGAAAGATAGAGGTCCTAGTAGTCAATAATAGTAAGATAGAGGTCCTAGTAGTCAATCAAAAGATGATTGTTATTGAATATGTGACTCACCAATTCTGTTATACTGAGCTGCCAAGTCGAACGGTGTTTGTCCTTCCTTGTTTTCCAGGAGAACATCAGGAGCTGCCTAATTACACAAACTATTGAAGTTTAGGATATTTACTTAACATTCACTATATATATATATATCAGTCTGGGTCTTCATAACACATTGATAAAAAAAAAATTACCATACCACAGAATTCAGCAAATAACGAGTAATATTAATTTAAAGGAAGCTACAGTTTGAAGTTTATAAAACTGAATGTAGAGGGAGTATGTGAAAAAACTCAGAATTTGGATAATGAGAAAAAAATAGGCTGTTGAAATATATTTTACACAATGATTGATAAAAAAGTAACTGACAAATGAATCTTTATTGACCCAAAAACAAATGTTTGTAAAGTGAGAATAAAATCTAGAAACAAATTATGAAGCCAACTGTAATGAGTACCTTGAAAATACACCTGTCTGTTTAATAAAAGTCAAAATAAACCTGTCTGTTTAATAAAGGTCAAAGTAAACTTGTTTGTTTAATAAAGGTCATAGTAAGCTTGTTTGTTTAATAAAGGTCAAAGTACACTTGTTTAATAAAGGTCAAAGTAAACTTGTTTGTTTAATAATAGTCAAAGTAAACTTGTTTGTTTAATAAAGGTCAAAGTAAACTTGTTTGTTTGATAAAGGTCATAGTAAGCTTGTTTGTTTAATAATAGTCAAAGTAAACTTGTTTGTTTAATAAAGGTCAAAGTAAACTTGTTTGTTTAATAAAGGTCATAGTAAACTTGTTTGTTTGATAAAGGTCAAAGTAAACTTGTTTGTTTAATAAAGGTAAAAGTAAACTTGTTTGTTTGATAAAGGTCAAAGTAAACTTGTTTGTTTGATAAAGGTCAAAGTAAACTTGTTTGTTTAATAAAGGTCAAAGTAAACTTGTTTGTTTAATAAAGGTCAAAGTAAACTTGTTTGTTTGATAAAGGTCATAGTAAGCTTGTTTGTTTAATAATAGTCAAAGTAAACTTGTTTGTTTAATAAAGGTCAAAGTAAACTTGTTTGTTTGATAAAGGTCATAGTAAACTTGTTTGTTTGATAAAGGTCAAAGTAAACTTGTCTGTTTAATTAATAAAAGTCAAAGTAAGCCAGTCTGTTTGATAAAGGTCAAAGTAAGCCAGTCTGTTTGATAAAGGTCAAAGTAAACTTGTCTGTTTAATTAATAAAAGTCAAAATAAACCAGTCTGTTTAATAAAGGTCATAGTAAACCTGTGTGTATAATAAAGATCAAAGTAGAATTAATAAGCAACAATATTACAAGTACATTTTGTAAGTCTAAACAGTACGAGTAATCGAATACATTCTCTCATTAACACCATAACAATAAAATCAGCTTAATACACACCTTTAATAGCTTCAAGAGCACAAACTTGTTTCCATCTGTAGAGTTCTGACAGGCAATGTGTGTGGGACTGTTCTTATCGTTATTAACACTATCTACCTGAAAATGTAGCAAAAAAACTTAATCAAATTCCCACTTATACAAATATACTTATTAAAGACAGCTGATGGCTCATACTTAAGATGTCAACTAAACACACTTAAAAACGTTTAACTGAGGAAATGTATTAGATCATTTTCTGTGTTTTTAGTCCATATTTTGGTGATCATTTTACATTCAGCTTAAAGCTTCTCAAGACATGATTCAAACCTTCAATAATTTAAAATATTATAGAGATGCTGAAAATCTCATTCAGAGGCTTTTTGATGATTTTCATCAAACCTCCAACCTAGTTTTTAGTACTTTTCAATAACTTTCAACATTCACTTCACTAAGTTGCCAGGATACTGCATTACCTCTGCTCCATCCTTAATCAGTAGCTCGAGAAGCTCCGACTTTCCACTGAACGTAGCAATATGAAGAGCTGTGTTTCTGGAAGAAAATGTACCATATATTAAAACATATTTCTACAAATAACATCGGGAAAACACAAATATATTTCCTCTATCCAGATACTGAGTAATAAATTTTACAGAAATGAGCTATTTCAATCAGTTTACTGTTTACATACCATACATTAAAACAGAAAAATCTCAGGAACTACTATTTCCTATCATCTGGAAATGAAATACACTTCTACTGGTGAGTCATATTCTCACTGTTGGAATACATATATATCCTTGTACAACAGTTACAATATACCTATTTATATCCTTACACCACAGTTACAATATACCTGTTTATATCCTTACACCACAGTTACAATATACCTGTTTATATCCTTACACCACAGTTACAATATACCTGTTTATATCCTTACACCACAGTTACAATATACCTATTTATGTCCTTATACAACAGTTACAATATACCTATTTATATCCTTATACAACAGTTACAATATACCTATTTATGTCCTTACACCACAGTTACAATATACCTGTTTATATCCTTACACCACAGTTACAATATGTTGGAATACATATATATCCTTGTACAACAGTTACAATATACCTATTTATGTCCTTATACAACAGTTACAATATACCTGTTTATGCACCACAGTTACAATATACCTGTTTATATCCTTATACAACAGTTACAATATACCTGTTTATATCCTTATACAACAGTTGCAATATACCTGTTTATATCCTTATACAACAGTTACAATATACCTGTTTATATCCTTATACAACAGTTACAATATACCTATTTATGTCCTTATACAACAGTTACAATATACCTGTTTATATCCTCACACCACAGAT